CAATATGGAAAGGATCTGATCAGCGATCTGAAGAGTGAGCTGTCTGGAAAGCTCGAGGATGTCATGGTTGCCCTGATGACACCACTGCCACATTACTACGCCAAAGAACTCCACGACGCTATTTCAGGACTTGGAACCGATGAGGAAGCAATAATCGAAATATTATGTACACTCAGCAATTACGGGATAAGGACTATCGCTGCGTTTTATGAGAATCGTAAGTGAAAAACCCATCAAAAAAAGCACAACATAATTGTGTTAATTGTCCTCCCCATGAATCCGTGTTCTCTCTTTTCAAAAGATAAAAAGATAGAATTGCCACACCGAGTTGAGCATTAAAATTGATCGAATAATTATTTTCCGCGCAATGACGATTGAAAATTCAGTGATAACTGATGATGACTAATCGTCAAGGTTGTCACGGCTGACAGGCCAGTCAATTATTTGAGAAACTAGTTGTGTTTACGATGAGACACTTTGCATTGGATCTATAATTATACATGTGTTGGGTACGGTGTGGGGAGTGATGTCATCAACTCGTGACGCGAATATTCGTCTCCTTGGTGGAGCAACGTGGGATTGCGTTATTGGAATTCGTTTGAAGAATTCCTCCTTCTCTCATTTCATGATTACTCACGGGAGTTTAATAATAATGAAAAGATGGAATTATGATTTTAATAAAATTCTTGATTTATTTTTCAGTGTACGGAAAGAGTCTGGAGAAGGACCTGAAGGATGACACTTCTGGTCACTTTAAGAGATTGATTGTTTCCCTCTGTCAAGCAAATCGTGATGAAAATCAGGGAGTCGATCATGCTCAGGCTCAGGCTGATGCCCAGGCATTATTTGATGCTGGAGAGAAGGAATGGGGCACAGAGGAGTCACAATTCAATGCAGTCCTCGTTACTCGAAGTTATCAGCAACTTCGACAGACATTCCTCGAGTATGAGAAGATATCAGGGCACGATATTGAAGTTGCCATCAAGAAGGAATTCTCAGGGAGTATTGAGAAGGGTCTTCTTGGAATTGTTAAGTGTGTTAAATCCAAAGTTGGATTTTTCGCTGAGAGACTTCATGCTGCTATGCAGGGAATCGGCACGAAGGATCGCACTCTCATTCGCATTATCGTATCGCGAAGTGAAATCGATCTTGGAGATATCAAGAAAGCGTTTGAGGAGCGATATGGAAAATCACTTGAGAGCTGGATCGTTGGGGACACTTCTGGGGATTACAAGAAATCCCTTCTCTCTATTGTTTCCACATAATTCCACTATTTTATCCGTTAGTGTTACCATAATGTCCAAAAATTGTGCTCGGAATCTCTCAACTGTGTTCAAACCGACAATTATGGGAAAAATTTAAAGAAAAATCTGGGGAAAATACTGAAATTATTATTTTTTATTCTCTCGGGATTTTTCTGTAGATCAATCCTCGGGAATTGACGGGAAAAATTAATTATTGCACAAAGAAATGGCCTATCTTTTGTCATACAAGTCAGTAGTGAATTGAAAACAAAGAGTCGCTTAAAATTCATGTAAAATTTTTGGTGAATAGATATTAATTTAATCGAGACTAAAATTTTCATAGAAATTATGAAACTGACGGTCTGCAAAATCTTCATAATTTCTGTTATTCACCAAAAATTATAATTGTCTCAGCTAGTTAACAAATTTGCTGCAGAATTTTTTTGGCTTACGGAATTGCAGATATAATTGTAAATTTCAGAGGAATGCCCACTCCACAGTCTTGAAGAAGATACGCTTAAGAAAGAACGCGAGGAAATAATTTTTTATGTAATATATATCAATCAACTATGCGATGTTTATACACATTTATAACTATATTTTTTACACGTGTTTTACTATCTCGATATTATTATTACGAATTGCCTTCCAAATTCAAACAAATTATACAACCGGTGAACAGATTGTTATTTGTTGGAAGAGAGGGTCACAGCTTTACAGCAGTGCAAATTACCGATGCCTTGTATTTTTTGTTTAATTATATTAGTGCTAATAAAATATAAGCATTTGATGTCGATTTCACAGTGAATTATTATTAATTTACGCAACCCTGAATACTCGTGGCAAATAATGATATTCTCACACGAGAAGAGCGTTTCTTTTATATTTATGTCATAGACGCCGGTAATCACGCGATTCTACCGATGATATAAAATAGTTTACGAAACACGTGCGTTATGGTTTTTTTTTACTCATGGCATTGTAAAATTCACCTTTGACGCGTGTTGTGTAATATACTATTTTTCCTTTAATTCCAACTACTACCGTATTTTACAGTTAGAGTGATGAAGTTATTGTCGACGTAGCATGAGGTAGTGATAAGATTTCGACGACTACTATCAACAAATTATCCGGATAGTTCCCCATTGAGGAAATAAAAATACTTGATCATTCTGACCCCTTTATCATTTATGTGAGACGCATCCGACAGGGAAGTGTAATTCCAAGTGTTATTACATTCTCTAATATGATACTGTGGATACTTGTTCAATTTTTGTGGATTCTTCCAGGGTGAGAGAAATAATTAATTAATTCAACCCCTGAATTGCCCTTGTAAAGAAAAATCATCTGAAAACCTTAATTCGTTTTATAAGAAATTTTATCGAAACTCGGGATAAGAATTCTCATTATATTTTACGAAAATTCTATTTTCAAATACAATTCCATTGGACTTATCTATTAATTATAATTAATTACTGATATTGCTATTATTTATTGATGATTAGAATTTGGAAAGAAATGCAAATCAAATTGAATGAATTTAATTGAACTGCAGATTCCTGGCAAATGACGATTTTCACCTGAAATTTCCACCTGGATTCACCATCGGGGCATCGAGTTCCGCTTATCAAATCGAGGGTGGCTGGAATGCCAGTGATAAGGGAGTGAGCGTGTGGGATTGGTTTGCGCATGAGAAAAATTTTCTGATTGAAGATGGATCTAATGGAGATATTGCATGCGATTCATATCACAAGTATAAAGAAGATATTGAAATAATGGAAAATAT